ATTTATTTAAAAACTTTTTTTTTCACACAATTTTGATGTAGAGTTTTAATTTTTTTTATTCTTGTTATTTCCACTTTCAACTTTTATGCCCATTTAGTTTCTGTTGATTCTGTTAGTATTCTGGTTGGCGGGTCCATATGGACCGTCCTTTTCGTAAACAAATATTATGTTATTACTAAGTTACTACTTAACTACCAAAAGTTTTTAATAAGAAAATATGGTTTACGTTCGCGATTTTTAAACTAACTTTCGCGGTCCCTGCTCGGACGCCACATAAAATAAAACAATATGTTTTTACTTGGCAGCAATATGTGCTTATGTTGAGATTTATTACAAAATTGAGAACTTAATTATATTGTTAGTAGTTATGAAGCCCGAGCCCTATAAGTGCCTAGTCATCACAATTAGGTTCGCGCATGTTTCGCTCAACTACCTAATAATTGGGAGAGCGGATGCGCGTGTAGTGCATTCCATTAAGCTAACAGTGCAATAGGAGTCTCAATTGTAAGTTGACTCCTAATTATGCAGACATTGTTGTCAGCGAATTTATGTTGTGTTAACTCCTCCCTCCGAAATTCCAATCGTCCCCGATTGGTCTTTACAAATATGGTCGTTAAGACTTTTATGTCTTCAAACTTTCCTTGTCGGTATATGAATCGCCTCCGCGTTTTGAATAGTGATTTTGGCCAATTTTCGTGTCCGAATTTTAAGAGCTATAATTATGATTATAACAAAGACCAAAATACTGGAATGAGTTAGCATACTAGACTTGACTAGTAAATTCGACCTAATTTTTTTAGCGAATTCATGCTGTGTTAACTTATACACGCGATAATCGTGGTTATATTGTTAACCCAATTTTGTCTAGTTTTCGCTTCCTACGCATTTTGATTTTGTTAGATTTTTAAATTTTATGACAAATAATCATATCTGCCGAAATATTTTTTTTGGCGTTTCAATTTCTTGTATCGAAATTTATTTCATCGAATGTAATTGAAACATCGATGGTGATTTCGCACGAATAACTGTCTTTCCTTGTTGTGGTTCGGACGATCTGCAAAATCAATCGTCAAAATGTGAAATTGCTTGTAGAGGAGTGCATTGTGTTCCTTAACTGGAAACATACATGCGTCACTATGTGGTTGTTTAACTGGAAACATCAGGAGACATCCTTCAATTATAAACAGTGCAGTGTTGTGATAAGTCTAAATTTACTTAGGCTGCATTTAGCAACATTTACGCAACCATATCGGTGTGCTATATATGTTTACAGGTCCAGTTTAGATGTGTCATACGTGTTTTTGTTGTTATTTGAATACATCGCTTATTCTCTATGACACTTACGGTCTATATGTTTTTGAGTAATATTTTTAAGTGGGCGTTGACTACGCATTCTGCTGCTGTAGTCTAGGCCATAAACATTGGTTAAATGAAATAAGGATTGTCCTTGGACGGATATAAAGGGTTGTGTTTAGTATCGCGTCGGTTAATTTTGGCTCAACGTACCTAAATGAGAGAACCAAATGGAAAATTTTAAACACGCATGTATGCTTAAATTATCGAACTTTGTTTTAAACGTCGACGAAAATCGGTTCACAAATTTTTCCACAAATTCACTTTAAAAAATGCTATTTTTTGCAAATTTCTAAATATATGCTAGTGCATTAGTGCATTGTACCAAACCAATTATGGATACATTTTCACGCACATATATTACTTATGAATTATAAAAACCACTACTTATGTTTTTAATTACTTTTGATTGTTAATTTCTTTGTAAATCTTTAAATAAAATACACCTTTTTCTCCATTGAGTTCAATAATGCGGAAAACCAAAATGACTGTCTAATTTGAACTGTCAAATTACCGAGAAAGCACGAACAAAAGGGAATAAATTAAACCCACTTAGCAATAAATGTATGAAGTGAACGCGAAAAGGTGGTCAATACTAAAATACTGTAGATTGCGTAGCCGGTGTTGGACCGGCCAGGGTTATTTTTTTAAAGTGCGGCCGAAGGCCGCTAGTACTGAAAGGAATGAAATGCTAAAATACTGTGGAGGAAAAGGTGTTCAATGCAAAAATACTGTGGATAGCGTAGCCGGTGTTGGACCGGCCAGGGTTATTTTTTTAAAGYGCGGCCGAAGGCCGCTAGTACTGAAAGGAATGAAATGCTAAAATACTGTGGAGGAAAAGGTGTTCAATGCAAAAATACTGTGGATAGCGTAGCCGGTGTTGGACCGGCCAGGGTTATTTTTTTAAAGYGCGGCCGAAGGCCGCTAGTACTGAAAGGAATGAAATGCTAAAATACTGTGGAGGAAAAGGTGTTCAATGCAAAAATACTGTGGATGGCGTAGCCGGTCTTGGACCAGCCATGGTTATTTTTTTAAAGCGCGGCCGAAGGATAGATGCAATTAAATATGTATATACATTGCACTGAAACATTTTGGCTTTCTTTATTTTGATTTCTTGTCCATACAAAAATGTTGGCTGGGTTGCATTGGTTTCAGTTTGTATGGAAAAATGAGCAAAAACACTGAGCACTCTCTGCTCCTTAAAAGTGTGGAACCCTAGTGCAATGCATGGTTCTGACCCCATCATCGTGGACGCAGAACGGTCTAGTTCGTCGGAATTTAACCCTACTATGTTACACCATCCCTTTGATAGACTTAAGCCCTTTTAAACTACATATGCATGTCGTAGAGAGTGTTCTCCAATTTGTCTCGCGCCATTATGACAATGTCATCGGCTTATCCCGGCATTGAAGCCTATTGCTAGTGAACACCTAAAGGAGTTCTTCTACTACTATGCTCCATAGCAGGGGGGATAAAACCCGTGCTGACTGGCGTGTAGGAGTGCGATTTTCAGCGCCTTTGTTGTTATAGGTTGTCCACAATGTTTTCCATCCTTTTTAGTATGAAGGAAGTGAGACTATTTGGCCGGAATGATTTGGCAAGCGTGTAGTCCTTCCTAGCTTGGGGATGAAGATTACCTTAGCACTACGGTTCTGGACACGTATCTGTTAATGCTAAACTGCAGAGATGATTATGTTCAATAAACCTAGTAAGCCAGCGTATGACATTACTTCGTATCGGCCCATATTTCTCCTGCCAATACTTTCAAAGTTTTTGGAACTACTACTTACTTTGCGTCTTAAACACATAATTGAAGAGAGGAAACTGGTACCGGTGCATCACTTTGGCTTTCGAAAAAATCACTGCACTATTGACCAAGTAGAATAACTCCAGTCATTGAAAATGCCTTTGAAGAAAAAAGTTTGTTCGGCCGTTTTAAAGCCTTTGATGAAGTTTGCCATGGCGGGCTCCTAAACAAAATTAAAATGCTTTTACCAAAAAAATTTTACAACATTTTAAAATTGTACCTATCGGACCGTTTTTTCGAATTTAACATGGATATATGTATTCTGATTTAAAGGAAATAAAAGCTGGTATTCCTCAGGGTAGTGTGCTAGGACTCATTCTTTACCTACTCTTTACATGCGATCTACCAAACGATGACAATTGTATTACAACAAAAAAACTGTATCAATTGCAATATTTAAACAGAATATTTGAATGGGCAGCTAATTGGCGAATCAAATTAAACGTAACTGAAACCTAATATATAGAATGTAACATATTGATTTCACATACAACAATACGAGATATATGCGTCTATACTTAAATGATGTGCAAATACCATATCACAATACATGTCTAGAAGAAAAAAAGAAGAATTATAATTAAAATTCAGAAACATGTATTGGTTATTGGGTAGAAGCTCTGCCTTATCTACATACCACAAAATTATAATCTACAAGCAGGTGTTCACACCAGTTTGGACTTATGGGATACAACTCTGGGGCTGCTCAAGCCCTAGCACTGATGAGCCGTTAATGCGCCTTAGTACGATCTTGAACGCGATCTCGGAATTGACTCAGTTGCAGCATCAACCAAAAAATATTAAGTCTCATGTTGAAGGACTATCTGACCATGTGAACACTGCAATTTTTACGCAGAGCACCATTAATTATTTTAAATTATACAATAAGCAAAACAAATTGTTCGTTATTTTATTTTATGATAACTATATGTATGTATAACTTGGATTACGAAAGTTGCCTCTAGCTATTTGGTTATTTCTCAGAAGAATATTAGGAAAGAATGCAACATATTTATTCCTTTAAAATATATCAATAGATAGTATGCATCAATATAATAAATTTAAATTTTAGAATTCTTATGTGAAATGCGGATGTAATGTGTTGCATGCACATATTTCATCATTGATATCTGTACCGAATTTTCCTGTATTTTTTAAATTTAAATATATTAACGACGAATTATATGTGCAATTATAATATGGAATTTAGCTATGGCTCATTTTTTTGGAAATGGTAAAAATTATATCATAAAATCAAATTGAATTGAGTAAAGGAAGACTATTAGATTTGATAACATTTACTTTATTTTTGGAACTACATAAATATAACATAAACATATACATATAATGCATACTTGGTATTTTATATCCAACAAGAAGTCATTCTAAATAATTACTACCCCTATTACGGTTTACAACTCGACTCAGACAAATTGAAGTTAGAGCAACTCCATAATAACTAAAGAGTTACTTTGTATATCAGCTGACTGCAGTTGTAGTTTCATAGAAGTTGAGAATCCAAAAAAGTTAAGATTTGACAAAACGTGTTACTGAAATCCATTGGAACATTCAAGCACCAACTTAGCAAATATTTGAATTAAAGATCCGTATCTAGCTCTCAAGTAATAAAAAATAATTATTATTCAAGTAATTTTGACAGCTGGTTACGCATTGTGAATGATTCACATTAGAAAAGTTAGAGAGAATAAACAAAGAAAATAAACTTTGTGTGTAATATGTATGTATGCATGTGTGTAGTAACATAAATATTTTCACTGTGATTTAAGGAATGTTGTTGATGATTGGTAAGTTTTATAAAACATTTCAAACTGAACTATTTCTATGTGTTTGTATTAAAAATAACTGAAAATTATTTGAAACAGTTTATTTACTCGCTAATATTTTTTCGAAATGTACTCAACCTGTAAAATGTCACAAAAATGTTGAAATTCAAGTGGTTATTAACAATACCGAATTTAAAATCTCCAACTAAAATACAGTCGAGTTGTAAACCGAAATAATGGTAAATTTTTAAATACTTTAGTACATAGTGTGAACAACTGATTCCTTTTCCACTAGTTGCCGGACTTTCATGCACCCATCCGAGCCACAAGAGAAAAGACGCCCATAATTGTCTATATGCACTTGGCTGACACCTTGGCCAATATGTTTAAAGAAACTGTTTTTGGCATGTTCAGCCGTATATGTGTTAATTAACGAATACTGATTCAAGCTCCATATCTGAAAATGCATAGAAAAAGCGTCAAAATATATTGAATAAATTATAAAAAACTTAAGTTAGTTCCAGTAATAAAGAAGTAAGAAATTTAATTTCTGTTCGTCTTAACGTCATCTGCGATCTTTACTCGAATTATTAAAATATACTATCTTTAAAAATAAAACAAATTCTGGTTATTCAGAATTGATAAAAAAAAGTTTTTCATGCACTTCAAAATATTTTCATTTTTACGAATTACCCTCATTTATTTATTTATTTATTTTTTTTCAAAGACGAGGTTACAATAGGGCAAGATTGAGAAACAGTGTACTTGTTGTAAGTAAAATAAACTTCTGACCGAAAGACATTCCTCTAAATTAATGCTTTCTCATTTGGTACAATTTTATACAAAATTTTGAAATAATTGACAACATAAACTTTTGATTTATTGTAAATGTATAAGCATTGTAAATTGTAAAATTAAGGGAAAATTTTTTTATCTAATTTTTGGGATAGAAAATGGTCAATATCCCTGTAAGCCACATAACATTAATCATGAATGCACAGCATCGGTTGTGAACAAAATTAGTTGAATTTGAAAATTCAATAAATTCTCGCTTGCACTCTTATACAAAAGGCGAATTGGCGTATGAACTGGTAATCACAAGAAAATTTTAATATTTTGGTTATATTTATGTTAAGTTGCGAAATTTATACAAAAACTTATAATTAATAAAATATAATAAAACAAATAAAAAATGCTGAAATGTATGAATTTCCATCTCTAATCAATGACTTACCTTAATATCACCTTCAGCAGATCCTGTAGCGAAAAATTCCTCATGCGGATCAAGGGCAATACACTTTATAGTAGCATCATGCGCCTAAAAAATATAAATTTTAATTATTTATTATTTATACTAATAAAATAATAGTTAGTCGCTGTTTACATTATTAGCAAATTAGCGGGAAATCTTCGCCAAGTGATAAAAATAATGCATTTGCTCCAACTTTTATTGCCGTTTTTGAAAAGAATAATTGATGAGTTGTAAATTTTCATCTCATATACATATTTGAGGTATAGTTCTACATATGGGCAAGACAAGGTTTGTAGTTCCCATCTTTATGACAATTTTTCTCAATAAACAATCTCTCAAGCTTTAATGCTATAAATTTCGATAACTTTACCTTTATAGCGTGTGAAAACCATTCAACATAATTATTCAAAAAATAATTCGTTAAAATATTGGTCACTACTACGAATCGGAATTTGAAATTTATTCCAAATGTATGGATGAAAAATTCAGTTAATTTAATAATTCTCAGCGAACATCACTCAATCGAATTATTCATGGGATCAACATACATATAAAAATTATAGAAGGGTTAAGGTCGGGTGCAACCAAAGACACATAATTATTGGTAAAATACGTTCATTCGATTTCATCAAGATAACTCACGTTTTTGGCAATCAATGCAGTTAAAGTCAGGCGGAAGTTCGAAAATCTTTCTGTTCGGATTCTCCCCGAATTTTAGGTGTACATTGTGACAAAAAAGTACCCGAGACTTATATATAATTTATAATATGCATTTATTTTGTTGCCTTCAAAGTAATCCCCACCAGTTGAAATACACTTATTCTAACGAGTTTTCCAGTTCTCGAAACACTTCCTAAGCTTTTTTTTACAGTAGTTGATCGATGCCACTCATTGCGTTTTTGGCTTTGAATTCGGTCACAATCGAAAAAATTCATTTATTGGGACAAGTCGAGCAACAACAAGTTTCATATATAAATATTGGTGGATATTGGTGGATATATCATGCGAACGGACGGAAGTGGATAAATCAGATGGAATCTAAAACTGTGTTATGTGGGAAGTAAGCATGGTTGTTGTCCAATTTTGCCCAATTTTCGGATAATTGATTTACAAGTATTTCACTTTGAGTAGTTTTTGACTAAGCTAAGGAGGGGCGGTATTAAGAAGTTTCTATCCAATACAAGTGATATGATTTCATTAAAAAAAACATACACAAATTGTTAATGGAGTTCAAATGTTTTTTATTTGATGTGAAGTACAATAGAGTCAATTAAGTTCCGAATATAATATCATTCAAATGGCCTCGACTACTTTTTTTGCAATAACAAATACAATTATCACATTTTTGAGTACTTTTTCCACTACATCAAGTCATATGTCATGAATGGCATGTTCAATATTGACTTTCAAGTTTTGAAGGGAATCTAGTTCATTGCTGAATACAAATGACTTCAAATAACCCTAAAAGTAGTAGTCTAATGGTGTTAAATCACAACTTCTTCTAGGCCATTTAATTTCACAGTTTCTTGAAATAATCGAATCCCAAAACTTTTCCCGCAATTCGGTTGTTTCATGTGCCCTGCCGCACGTATCCCTGTCTTGTTGGAACCAGATGTTGTCAAGATTATCTTCTTCCAATTGTGTCTATAAAAAGTTTGTTATCATCGATCAATACCGCTCTCCATGATTCCATCAGACCAAAAACCACACCAAATTATCAATTTCGGTGAATGTAAGGGTTGTTCATGAATATTTTGTCGATTTTCTTTACACCAGAATCGACAGTTTTGGTTATTGTATTTACCGCACAACTCACATGAAAATGAGCCTCATCGGAGTAGATTTTCTAAAAAAAAAGAATATTATTACACAAATAGAGCGACAGACTTCAAGCGACATTAAGAGTAGGCTTCGCGTTTCGTACGGTATCCGAAGACGCTGCCCTAGGATCGCAGGCTTACACCCGCTAAACCTCTTAGCCAAAAGGCTCACATACTCTTCAAATGAGAGACTAACACCCAGAATCCAAAAAGAGAAAGCCAGAGCAGATACGGTGAAGCGCATGCAAAAACGATGGGAAAACAGCCGAAATGGTCGTTGGACATTCCGACTAGTCCCCAAAATAGAAATATGGCTAAATAGATCGCACAGAAAAGTAGATTTTTCCCACATCCAAATTCTCACAGGACACGGTTGATTCAAATCATATTTGAAGCGATTCAAACACGAAGACAACCATATATGCGACTATTGCGGAGGAAAGGCGATTTTTGAAAAACGCATTCGGGATAGACTCAACCCCAAAAAATGGTGGCATCACTAGATAAGTGGAAAACCGTGTACGTAGTGGCAGCAAAAAATGAAACTCCAAAGTGCTGGAGAATAACAACCTAGAAGACTACTACAAAATTCAACGAACAATTAAGACGCGCCACGCAAACCATGACTGGAGCAGCCAAAAAGGGTTTGGTGACAATCACTGTACAAAGGGGATTATGAGACAAACTGAGATACGACCCTCACGTGCGTATGAGTATACTCATACTTCTTCTTCTTCTTTACTGGCGTAGATATCGCTTACGCGATTATAGCCGAGTTAACAACAGCGCGCCACTCCTTTCTTCTTTTCTCTACGTGTCGCCAATTGGATATTCCAAGTGAAGCGAAGTCCTTCTCCACTTGGTCGATCCAACGGAGTGGAGATCTTCCTCTTCCTCTGCTTCTCTCGGCGGGTACTGCGTCGAATACTTTCAGAGCTGGAGTGTTTTCGTCTATTCGGACAACATGACCTAGCCACCGTAACCGCTATCTTTTAATTCGCTGAACTATTTCAATATCGTCGTATAGCTCGTACAGCTGATCGTTCCATCGAATGCGATATTTGCCGTGGCCAACGCGCAAAGGGCCGTAAATCTTTCGCAGAACTTTTCTCTCGAAAACTCGCAACGTCAACTCATCAGTTGTTTTCATCGTCCAAGCCTCTGCACCATATAGCAGGACGGGAATTGAGTGACTTATAGAGTTTGGTTTTTGTTCGTCGAGAAAGGACTTTACTTTTTAATTGCCTACTCAGTACGAAGTAGCACCTGTTGGAAAGAGTTATCCTGCGTTGGATTTCCAAGCTGACATTGTTGGTGGTGTTTAGTCTGGAGAAAGCAGAACTAACGGCGCGGGTGTTGAGATATCAATATCATCGGCATACGCCAGCAGCTGTACGCTCTTATAAAAGATTGTACCTGCTCGATTAAGTTCTGCATCTCCAATTAGTTTATCCAGCAGCAGATTGAAGAAGTCGCACGAAAGAAAGTTGCCTTAGCTCGGAGAGGTCCTTCCTAATCCTGACGGAGATTTTGGTGTTGCTCAAAGCATCTTGTATGCGATGTAGACTTATCCCACGGTAGTTGGCGCAAATTGTAGGGCCTCTCTTTTTGTGGATTGGGTAGAGTACACTTAAGTTCCAATCATTGGGCGAGCTTTCGTCCGACCATATATAAGAGGGGGATATATGCTCCTTGTCGCCGCCATGTTTGAATAGCTGGGCCGGAAGTCCAACGGCCCTTTCCACTATGTTCTTCTTCACATGGGTAATTGCTATTCGAATTTCTTCATGGTCGGGCAATGGAACGTCTTCTCCATCTTCATATATTGGGAAATCGAGCATTTACTCACGCATCTCGTCTTGACATCCTGATAATTTTTATATATGTTATATACATAAAGAAAGATGTTATACTCTGAAGCATCATGTTTTTCAGTTTCTAGTAAAGATTATTCATCCGACGTCTTATCAATGCCTCCGCCTGGAAACTAGTTTTAGAAAGTTGAGCTCTTGATTTTCGTGCTATTTTAAAATTGAAAAAACTACATTTGTACTAAATCATTATCTGGCTGTTGAACCTATATAAAAATGCCTTACTGATTATAAGACCTCGGAGTTTTCTTGGTTTTCATTACATTGGAGCCATATTTTGTATTTAGGCGTTTTATCAAATTTATTTATTTATTTATTTAAATATAACAAATTTTAACTCATATCTAAAATATACAAAATAAATAAGAAAAATATGCAAACGAATTTCATCGAAAAATTTAATTTCACTTGATAAATAGAGAAATTAATTCCACACGAAAACATTTTCAGAAGGAGCTATCTGGATACATGTTACCAACATTTAATTACCAACACGTTTGGATATTAGTGAACAAACCACCGGGCAACCAAGGCGACATTGTATGATTTAATTTTCATGGGAGTCAAAAGTGTTATTGTTTTCAATAGATGCTGCGGCATAAGTGATGAAATGATGGAAGCTGGTGAAAAGTACACATTCTTTACCCTAATCTTAAACAAATAACTTGTTTGGCACACGGTTTAAATTTAATAGCTGTTAGAAAATCGTATCTAGTCGTAAACCGTTTATAGCCTGTGTACACGCTATATAAAAACTTAATGAAGGGTTACCCGCAGAACCAATCTTAACCATATGGGGTACATGGGTTGAATGCGGAATCATTGTATGCAGGTAACACATGTAAACATATTTTTAAACATGGGTTTTCTTAATATGTTCTGATTATATAAGCAAATATGTATATGTGGGTAAGGACGATTACAAATCAAAAATATTTGCTTTTAAAGAATTCATATAATGACGGTTTTAGCGAGATGTTGCTTTATTCGAGAGTATATGATTACGAATTGCAGAGAAATAACGTGCCTCATAATGTTGTTTCCTGTAACAACCAGTACAAAATATTTTCGAAAAATTGTAAACGAGCTGCTTACTTATTATGTTATACTTGCGGCGCATTTATTAAAATGAGAAAGGGAAAGTGTGATTTAGGTAAAAATTTAAAGATTTGCGATGCATTTATCAACCTTACTTTAAACTGTCTGTCAAAAATCAGCCCAAAAAATAGGCTTCATAATAATTATTACTTAAATTTGTATTTTAAGTTCTTGAAACATTAAACCCAGAAGTTGCTGAATTTATAAAGCTGCCACAAGCGATAATACAAAATTCTGGACTATATCGAATTTCCCTCAATGTTAACTTCTTTGGACGCAAAGTGTTCATCATTTCCAAAGTTAATGAATTTATTTAAGGAAGTTGAGAATATTGCTTATGATTCGTTGGGAGGCGTCCAACATCATCATATTTCGTTTTTTTGTGATTTCAATCACATGAACAAAAAATATGTGATTTTATTTTTATAATCTTGTTATGCAATTTTAACACTTCTTTAAATGTATAATATGCCAGCGTGATTCCAAGCATTGAAGGGGTCACGGGGTTTTGAGACCATCTTTGCGCACACGTTTTGCAAATTCAAGTGCTCCGTCACAATGTCATGAACCACAGATTTTGATAAATTTAACATCTGGGCAATTAAACGAATACTAACTTAATCATAATGGAAGAAATCGAATTTTTTCGTAAGTGTTTAACCATTACTTCATAGACTCCAGAGTTTTATTTGTTAAGTTAGTATTTCTTGAAGTTTTCTGAAACTTTATAATACCAACAATGAAAAATATACTTTTTAGGAGATAGGTAAAACTCGGACATTTCAAAGAAAACCCAAAGTGTTGTTGCACTTTTAAAAGATAAAAGTACATCCACAGAAAAATAATAAAAAAAGAAATGTAGTGAGTGCAGCTACTGTTACTCGAGTAGCGAAAATTATGCGCACATTCAAATATTACACCGTTGGTATGCGGCGAAATACTGCCCAAAATGGGTAAAAGCAGAGCCAGTGAAAAACGCTACTGCCTTCCATCCTTTTCCTTCCTGATAGGCAAAATGTATGAGCAGTGAAAAACGTGGCAAAAACGCAGAATTCAGCCATCTTTCTTTGTTTTCATTTGCACAATGTTGCCATTGCTCAATACGCATATATCGTTTTGTGCACATCTACGTTTTCAATTACAATTTTTTATAATATAAAATATCAAAACTGAAAACAAACTATTAAAAATAGTTTATATATTTATAAATAATAGCATTAGAAAAATAGAAAATTTCAAACATATTGAACAGATTGAATTACAAAAGTTGATAATTACTACAGTATATAGATATTGGCAACCGTGGGTTGTGAGAGAGCAATCAGCTGACACGTTTCCACGGTAAATAGATTCCCACGTCATCCTACGTCAAAGAGAGAGAGGGGATTGCGTTTTTCACTGTGCACTTACATTGCGCGCCCATAAGATAGGTCGTATCAGCTGACACGACCAACGATTCTACGTTTTTCACTATTCCTGCTATAAATTGCTCTGTAATCGCGCACCAAATCAGCTAGAGAAATTTTAAAGAAGCTAAATGATGACCATGTAAAAATATTAACAGTTGAACATATTTTTTCAGAAAATATCAAAATTGACCAAGCGAACGAAAAATCAGCGAGTAGTAAGGGTCAAATTCCATCAGAACTACACAAAGGTGGATTGAAACAAGGTAATCATAAAAAGTTATGAACGTCCCCCGAAAGTCCCCACTCAAAGTTACCCTGCTATTTAACATGATTTTCTCCTTTACAAAGATTAACTTTAGCGACGAATGCCGGCTCAAAGCAGTGAGAGCAGTTATGTGGAGAACTACATTCAAAAATAGGTAAAATATATCAGCAATGTAATGATTTAGAGCTGCAGATCGGTGGAAGGGCCTGGACCAATTTATTTTGTTGAGTGAGCAGTACACCAATGAACTTCAAGATGGTTTTGTACCATATTTGGCAACACGGAACCCTCCAGCAGTCCAATACACTTATATGCACGCTGAGATGCCTTGACACACCTCCTGATGTCCTTCACAACTTGGATATCAATATATTACCTTAAGCGGGCATGGCACCCGATCTAAACCCCACCGAAAACTGTTGGACGGTCCTTAAATCGAAGGTATATACCCGAAGAAATTCTACAACAGCCCCACTGAAAGATAACATTAAGGATGTGTGTCTAATACATAATAATATTTGTTTGAATAGTATGCCTCAAATAGTAAAGGTTGTTAATAAAAATAAAGGTTTGCCAACCAAATACTAAAAAAATTTAAGTTTTTCTCAATTTTATGAAAAGATGATATTTCATATATGTAAATATCGTAAAAAATTGCATTCACATATCGTAATAATTTTTGGTTTATTTGACTCTGAACGATAAACTATATGAATAATTGTCCGTGTTTCTAATGGGTTGGCGGGGTACTATATATAGACGTTTATTAATACTAATAATAGCTATCTAGTCAGATATACCTGGAATCGGTGCTTAAGAGTCCTTTGCCTTACATCAAAGACGCAAATATCACCTTTTTTTCCACAGGAAATCAACAATTGATGTTGCGGAGCAAAACACATGCATGACGATCCTTGATCGTGACATGTAAAAGCTGTAGGGAATAAATGTAATATATAATATTAGTATTTACAACTGTTCAATTGCTCGTTTACATTTAATTAATTCATATTTAAGTCTATTGAAATTACTTTTTCTAAATATATGCATACATAAAGTATCTATAATATATGTACTTAGGTAAATGGTGTTCAGTTATTACTCTATACGACAGATGGTGAGATATTTTATATTAAAGACGATTGTAGTATTTTTGAAATTTGATTTTTTTTAGATATTCTGTTCCCTTATACCCTTAGGATTAATGTAGAAATCCACTTGTGGTTTTGTGTTTCTGATGACCCAATCATGAGAAATCGTGTCCGCCAGTGAAAAAATGCATCTCATTCACCCAGCCGTTTCTCCGACAGATATCATCAAAAAATTCCGAAAAAATGGGTTTATACACTCGACGATATACATACCTCATGATATTTGAAAAAAGTTCTATTGTAGAATAAAAATTTCTATGAAAAAAAAAATCAAAAACCAGGCCAGGTAACCCTATTGACGCCTTAAAATATAATTTGTTATATAAATACCTATGTAAATATAGTATTATTGTATGAATTGCTAATTATTTATTTTAATAAATCTAAATTCAAATAACTACTGTGGAATTGATACATCATTTGATACCTAGTGCATGTATGTATGTATGTGTGTATGGTTATAAAAATGCTTGTTTTATAAATACTAAACTACTTCTCAACCAAATGTATGAACTTTTTCATCCCAACCTTAAGTAATATTATTGTACTTACCTGAAACGCACGATTTTTTTTGCGGCAATAATGTATCCCAAATATTTATATTTTTATTTTCAGAGCTTTGACCGGCTGAAAATAGAAAACGGTGTAAATTATATTGAAAACATTTAACTTTCATAGTGAAATGGATTTACTCGATAAATTTATTACGTTGAAACTTTGTTCTTTATTGGCAATATACTTTTCTTTATTTCTAATTCAAACTGCTTAATGCTTTATTAATCATTATCCTAGTTCACAGTTTCTTATTATATCCCTTTTACTCTTTACTCTGCATTAAAAGTTTTGTCTTGTTATTTCAATTATTAAATATAAACGTAAAATTTAGTGAATATACGTCTATTTGCTAAATGATTAATACAAATTTTTGGCAATGAAAATAATAATGAATTTTGGTCAGATAACATTATTGTTGAGAATATGTCCTTCCATCGGAATTAGAATAACAAAAGGAAGAGAATGTTTTTGACATTAATTTCGGTTGCAATGTCGCAATGTTTTTTTACAAATAGGATAGGTGTCTTAACACATATCGGCACAGGTGTCCTCAGTAATGATGGCACAACAATCCTTATTCTCCTCGCAGTTAGAGACGCACGTGGGGCGTATGTCAATACAGTTGGAAGTGTAAGCTATGCACATATAAACAGTAATCTCGCTACAAATAGCAGAGATGTCAAAGGTGATTTTAGCACATGTGGCCTCACATATTGGCGAAGAACATAATACAATTAAAGCTGAGTAAATAAATTGAAAGATCGTTTCCGCGAGTTACAATTAAATTAACCAATTAGGTCGGGCGTGAATTTCTGACTGTTTTCTTATTTTTAATTAGTTCTATTCCAGCACTAAACTCTTGATATGTACACATAACGGGTTATAACGAAAAATCGGCACAAATTTTATTTCAGCGTAACTCAGCGCTGTTGTTAACTCGGCTATAATCGCGTAAGCGGTGTCTACGCCAATCAAGAAGAAGAAGTAACTCAAAATACAGTTTTTGTCCGGAAAGTAATACGACTGAGTCGATTTAAAAAAAATTGTTAAACGTTACAATTTTTGGCTTGCACCGCTTACGGAAATATGTCGCCCGAAAATGTTTGTCCTGACTATCCAGGTGCTCGAAAAGATGATGCAATCAGTTTGCTAATTGCATAATATTAGCATTTGAAAAGTAAAAAATCCAAAACAGGAGGCCATTAAAAATAGTGCAAAATTTAGTTATTCTTAAGTAAAATTAAAAACTATATTATATCATTATTATTTAAATTATTTTAACGTTTTTATCCGCACTTAATGTGACTAAAATAATGGATGGAAGTTACTCACTGTTGTACATTGGGACAAAAATGCACCCGGAAATTGTAATTAAATTCCCCGCGTGAATAATATTTCAGTTGAAATTGGAATCAACATGAATTTGTTTCGGAGGGACAGACCGGCAATTAGGAGTTTTATTTGAGGCGTTTGGGAGAGAACATCCGCCGAAAACGGTCGGAATTGTGGAAGAATAATTCAGGGATGTTACACGATGATAATACACCATCGCATCGGGCTACTATTGTGATCGAATTTAAATCCAAAACTGCAATGAATATCAGATCAAACACCATATCCACCAGATTTGGCTCCGTGTGATTTTTTTTTTTTTTTTTTTGGTTCCCCAAACTGAAATTACCGCTCCGTGGAACCCGGTTTCAGTCGCTAAAGACCATCCCAAAAAGTGCTTATGAAAAGTGTTTCAAGGATTAGAAATATCATTGGGGACTATTTTAAAGGCAGCAAAATAAATATTGATGAATGATTAAATATTTCGCATTTTATTTTAAATTTTCGGGTACTTTTTTCTCACAATGTTATACATATGTATGTACATACAAAACGTTCTTATATAGAAGATTAAATTTTATCGAAGTATTTACTTCAATTCATAATCTTAAATTTAAATGTCAATAAATAAAATTTTAATTTAAACGTTCGGAATATATAGGCTCTGCTTACGAGAAAACGCAAATTAATTGTCAACGAAGTGACGTAACGAAAAGTTATAACAATCAAATGTTAGTTTAAATTTGCTTGTTGAGAAACTTTATATTTTTTGTTTTACTTATACTAATATTAGGTTGTCAAATATTTCTTTTGTCTTTCGAATTTCGTGGCTATGTATCTTTGAAAGATCTTGACATAACCTACAAAACGACGCTATGCATGATTAGTTTGGATATTGCGTTCAACAGTTATAGACGTGTAAACATGGAGTTCACTAACGCCGAAATTCAAAATTTTAAAGTTTTCCTTCGTTAAAGGCAAATCCGCTAGAGAAACGTTCCGTGAGATTAATGGTGTTTTGGGGGATGGTACTCTATCACTGCGAATTGAAGGGGATTGGTCTCAACGATTCAGAGCGGGTGAAAACGACACCATGGAGGAGCGAGCCGGCGGAAGACCTGATCAATCATGGATACACAAATAAGCTTGACGTTTACATCCCACATGTTTTGATGCAATAAAAACTTTTGGACCGAATCAACGCGTGCGATATGCTGCTGAAACGGAACGAACTAGACCCATTTTTTAAGCGGGTGGTGACTGGCCAGGAAGGTTTTGCGGTATGCTTGGAAGGGAATCATCCACTATGAGCTGCTCCCATATGGCCAAACGCTTAATTCTACCATCTACTGCGAACAACTGGACCGCTTGATGAAAGCGATCGACCAGAAACGTCCACAATTGACCAACAGGAAGGGTGTAGTGTTCCACCAGGACAACACCAAACCTCACACTTCGTTGATTACACTTCAGCAGCTACGGGAACTCGGATGGGAGGTTTTATCGCATCCACCATATAGCCCGGACATAGCGCCCATTCCTGCCCATGGCGAACACCCTTGTTGGTGTAAAGTTGAATTCAAAAGAGGTGAAAAGTGGCTGTCCGAGTTCTTCGCAAATAAGGAAGTGGGTTTCTACGACGGGGGTATTGTGAAATAGCGGAAGGGATATATTTGACAAGCTTATATTTCAAACATATACAATTACATCTAATTTAAAATCACGTATGTAAATACCAATATCAATTATAATATAGATAAGGTCGATACAGCGATTTATATATTTTTGTATCAGCTGAAATAGTTTATTTTAACGATACTTCAATCATAGGGCCCGACCCGACTACATAGAATGCGTAAAATTCTTAAAAACTTTAGTTTATTACGAAATAAAGTATGAGAAGTATGAGATATTTTTCTTATGTATGAGGATGTATTTCATAAATTACCTGTTGCGAGCAAACTGCAAGATCCAAGAAACACGAAGTCCGAAAGTAATTTATTGTGACACTGGTGAGTCTGAAATTAGAAATTAGTTAAAAAGCAAGCATAAATGAAAATCTGTTTGGTATTGTTGGAGTAGTAATATCAAATTAATGTACTTACACTAGACATTAAATGACATTAAAAGAAAATAAATTCATAAAACAAATAATGAAGATACGCCATTAAGTAAACAAACCGTTGGAGTAAAATGTGTATTTATTACTTATTTACTACTGTGGTAAGACCATTCGTCGAAATATTTTTTTTCTTTCTAGGTTGGTATGACTGTCAGTGACATCAGTGCCAAATTTCACATTCAAATAATCATTAGTGTTTAGTATACGGTTATCGTTATAGGGTACATACAATGCATTCGACGATTTTTAAAAATAGTGAAATTGCTCAACAAAAAAGTTACATGAAATTTCGTGTGCGGAATCGTTCAGAATGTTGGAAAAGGTCTACCGTGATAATTATTTGCCACGAGTAAGTGTTTTTGTTACTCAAAGGGGGTCGAGCAGGCGTTGGCGTCAATAAAATAAAGAAATTGGAACTTCGATTAATAGTCAGGGATCATGCTGGCATCATAAGAATATCGGAAGGATCAATTAAAAGATCATTTGGGCCTAAGAAAACTTTTTTCACTTTTTTCGAAAAAGAGAGTCGCATTAAGTAGCAGATTGTCAAGAAACGTATTATTACTGGTTATGCGTCTTGGATTTATTACGACTCGGAAACAGACAATCAATAAGCGCGAATGTCGTGACAAAGGTGAGACGAAGCCGAAAGAAACATGTAAGAGCGGGTAAAATTTAGGGTTGTGTGGGCAGTTTTTATACTCTTGCAACTAATTGCTACAGATTATTATAGTTTATTTCACTTAACGGTTGTACCTAAAACTATGCGAGATAGATATAGTTATATATGTATATATAAATGATAAGGATGACGAGAGAAGTTGAAATCCGGTTGACTGTCTGTCTGTCCATCCGGCCGTGCAAACTGTATCTTGAGTAAAAATTTACATTTCAGACTAAAACTTGGTATGTGGATTCCTTAGTACAAGAAAAAATACTAGTTCGTAGATGGGCGTAATCAGACCACTGCCACGCCCATAAATCGCAATTAATCAAAAATATTTAAAATACCATTACCAAATATTAAATTAAGATATAAAGATGTAATTTGATACGGAGGAACACAGTAGTAAGGGGAACATGTGAGCAATTTTTTATTTTTTTTTGAAAAAGTGAGCGTGGCCCCGCCCTCTAACTAGTTTAATGTAAATATCTCCTTTACTACTTAGGCACATGCACCATATATACAGCAGATCTTCCAACAGCTTATAATGTATTAACTTTAACTTTTGCGGATGACACAGATTTAGTGAGCCGTAACAAATACCACATAATAGGATCAAGAATATTAGCGGATCACTTAACTGGCGTATAAATGTAAATGAACAAAAGTGTAAGCATGTTACGCTTTCGCTAAGACCAAAAATAAACCATATTTTAGTACCCCAAGCGAACGAAGTAACATATCTTGGTATTCACCTAGATAGAAGGCTCACGTGAAGAAAACACATCGCTAGTAAAATAACTTGCATGAAGGTAAGAGCTGCAAATTTAAATTGGCTTTTAAATAAAAACTTCAAACTTAGCCTAGACTAGTTCTTTCATATAATGAGGTCATAAAAACGATTTGGATGTTTGGCATTTAACTGTGGGGTACGGCCTGTGCAACTAATGTTGATATAATAAAAAGGTTCCAATCGAAAATGCTTAGAACAATTACGTCTTCACCGTTGTACATGCGTAATGAAAATATCTATAAAGACCTTGGTATTCCTATGGTAAAGAAAGAAGTAGAAGATAGCAGAATTAAATATATATCTAAACTCCGAGATTACACAAACTCTTTGGCTAATGCTTTGGTACATTCCTGCGATCAAAGAAGAGATATGCCAGCGTACTAGGCAGCAACGTATCACCAAAACAGCTCCATCACTTGCTAGAACTTGTCTAGTTTTTAAATAGATTTAAAGTTTTATAACTTATTGTTAGGCTTTTAAAACAAAAAGCAGATTCAATAAATAAAAAGATTTTGTAAAAAAAAACTACTTAAGCTACAACAACCAATTTTGTTGAGTACAAATAGTATAAGAAGTTTTACTCATAGTGTGATAATGGATGAAATCGGAGGATAACCCCGCTGACTCACTATATAACGGTACTGTGAAAAACTACTATTATATTAAATTTTACCACCGAGATGGCATGAGAGATTTATTGAAGTCTGTGTGAAAATTGGACGCTGGGCGTGGCACTGCCCACTTTTTGGTGAAGTCACATATCTTGGGACCCGACTGGCCGATTTCTACAAAATTAGTACGTGGCATTCTTCCTTTATTCCTTATGTGACAGTACGAAAATGAAAGAAATCGGGCAACAACAACGCCTACTTCCCATATAGCACAAGTTTAAATTCCACTTGATTCGTTCAGTTTTCAGTACACAAATCAAGAAGTAATTAATATAAATTATGACTAAAAACTGTTTAAGTCCAATAAAAACCATTCAAGTTCCTAGATACCAAATATTTGGACCCCGGAACCCATAGTTAACTTTTGAAGGAAAATGCCAGTCAATGTGATATATATTGAACTGAAATTGAGGGATAATCCTCCTTTTATAATGGTATGTCTGTATGTCAAAAATCGAACTAATACTTCCCTTAGCCCATATAGCGGCTTATGATTCAATATTTCTGCACGAAAAAATTACAATATATTGTCAAAAGTGTGCTCAATAATGTACAAAAGGTCCGAATAAAATTACTCAATGTATATTTTTAAGAAATATATTCGCTAAAGAAGTAATTTTTTTACCATGAAAAATTTATTATTTTCATTTAGATAACTCAAACATTGGCCGACATAAGCAGCATAAAGTCACCTGAAAGTTCAAAAATCTTTATATTAGGCATATGGAGGCGGTGCCGCGACCATCGTCAATTTTCACACCGTCTGCTGTAACGCCCTGTCATACCATCTTGGTGGTAAAAATTAGTGTCTCTAGCGTATTTAGTTATTCATTTATCGCGCTTTTAGTATTTTTAACAGTACCGTTGATGTTGGTTGTTTAGCTTAAGTGGTTTAGGAGATAAATACATTAAACTTATTAGATATGCCCCTTGCTACTACAATCCCCTATGCCAAATTAAAATTCTATATCTTAAGGGGACAATAGGGTAATCTGGAATGTTTTTTTGAAATTAATTAACGTTTTTTTTTTAATTTTTCCCTTGTTTTTACATAAATTTTGTCACAACATTGTCAATAAATTATAAAAATATAAGGATGATAACCAGGCATTTTGTGAACATTAAAAAAATTGACAAAATCGGTTGAGTAGTTCGCCAGGAATCATGTCCGCTTAAAAAAGTGTGTGTTTGAGAAAAACGTGTTTAAAGTTTCAGGTACTGAAGAATAATACAAAGATGGACATAAACGTTGAAAAGTTTACATACCCCTAATTATTATTTGTGGGCCTTTTTGGAAGTCTTGCAATGGTAAAATGGGTTTCCACATTAATTCTAAGGGTATAAGGGAACAGAAAATGCATCTTCTCGCCATCCTGATCATTTATACATATGTGTATATGTATATAAATATATAACCCTATATAATCTCGATTAGTTTATTATGATACGTACAAACTTTAGGTGAACAAAACTCTGTGGCCACTTGTTGCAAGAGTATAAAAAAAATTGAAGGGACCATAGGAAACTACCGCTTTTACGCTATATTTGCGTGCTATCTGGTTTGCGACGTCGACACCAAATTCGAGGAGGAACCTGTCCTTCTGTAGAGTAGTGTGAAGAATGAGAATTCTTCAGATTAGCCTTAAACATAGAAAGATACTAATCTCAGTATATATGTCAAACGACTAAGAGGTGGGACGGGGATTATTACTGAGGAAGACATTGGCTTAGACGTCGCGAAGAGGAACGGACTTAATCATTGGATCCAATTCTGTGGCAGATCGGATATTCGACACTCAATCTGTGGCAGATCGGATATTAATCAGAGAGGTGAGTAAATTTTGCGATTTATTGTAAGTGAAAACCCTATTATTTTTGATTGCAGTAACTCACCTAGTTTTGTGTAATATGTAAAAGAAAACTCCCCTGATATGCCATAGAACTTTAATAAATCAAAGCATCTGGGAGGCGGTTATTCAACAATCTACACCGGTTTTTCCGCTGTCACAAGATCTTTTTGGCTCAAGGTCAAGAAATCCAGTGATCCCTTTGTCCTTAGTAAGGCTAACCACTGCCTGGTTGTGAGAATTCTAACAGTTCATTGCCCTCTCAGTAAAGTTGAGAATTTTACAGCCAAAGAAGCTGAATCGAAGAAGACGAAAATCATCTCACTATTTCAGATAACCCACTGCATTGGTGGAAAAATAAATTAAATGCCTAAGCAAATATGTATTGGCAGCCATGTGCTTTGTCGAACTGCACTATATAATCACTTGCGAATTCAGAGTGGTGAAATAGGTGAACTTGATATCTGGCAGTGCCATTCTGGCAGAAACAAAAGTCAAAGTCAAGTTAGTATTCGATAACTTGTTGTCTAGTTATCGAATACTAAATTGGAAACGTTGAAGAACTGCGATGTAGATCTATACCCCACAATTCGTAGCTTTTTCGCATATTCTGCACACTTTCTTTGTCGAATGTATGCTCTGAACGCTCTTTTTCGACACTTCGCCTCATAAAAATGTGGCTGAGGACGAACATGGCATGGCTGCCCCGGCATCATGACATTTAAGTCACTTCAGAAGAAGTTCTCGAAAGATTCTCAAAACTTGACCCACATCCTTTTGTTTTATGATTTTTTTTTTATTCAACACACGAACTGACAAGAGTACTATACATTGCAATAAAGTATGTCACCGCTAGGTTACGATGTATAATGTGTTTTTCTAATTAGTAGGAATTGATTTAATATTAGAAGTTCGAATTGAAATTCGATATATTTTTCCTACTATACTTAATATAATAATCTTCATGTTTCAAGTAAATATTTATTAAAACTTTAAAAGCCAATATACCCAGTTTTGTTTGGCTTGTTAAAATAATTAAGTTGGTTTTCAACTAATATACATGCATACAAATACTATTACTTACAAAAAATGGTCGATTGTTTTGCGTTGCAGTACCAGCTTGCCATAAACTCAAATTTCCATCTCCGTCTCCAATGCCGAATTTATTTCCTTGCTCAGAAAATCTACATCGAGTCACTTTTGCAAAGGTACCTGATTGTCGTGGTGAACATACCGGCTGTTGGTGACCCCATTCCCATATTTGAACTGAACCATCTTGACCTCCGGTAAGATACAGAGGGAGTAATGGATGAGAACTCATCCGTTTTACATTTTCAATTTTATGGCGCAATATCTGAAAAAAAGTTTATCGTTTAAAATTCATATTTTTCTAATTATCTAAAAATAAATAAATTATTAAATTCTAGTATATAATACCCTATTCTTTGTGTCAAATAATACCACCATACATTTTCACCCTGTGCTTAGTTTTTCTACGCGAAGAATAAATATAGTAAATATGGCATACTCATCATTTAGCTAAACAATTTAAGCCAACTATTATAGTACTTCCTGCCCGTTGTCCCGCCAAGACGCTAGCACAGTAGAATTCTGAATAATAAAATATATCAAAAGACTCACCAATGAAGTACCTCGGCCTGACTGTGAAGCGGACGGGAAATTTACAGATGATTCGGAGTTTATAGCTGAATTATGTTGGTTCCTAAGGTTAGCGATATTAAGATTAAAAATGTTTATAATACTAAGGTACTAAAGCATATATACGTATATATAAATTTATTTATATAAATAAAAATATTACTTCATTATTTCGAAAAATTGCAACTGTTAACTTCATCAAAAGTCGTGATTCAATGATAAAATGTGTTACAAGAGAGTGTGTATCAAAAAAATGTTGTATTTTACATTACATTATCACTCAAAAAAACACATTGTATTGAGTAAAATGCTTAAAAATATAATTTTTATTAAGAAAAAAAAATTATAGAACTAAAAATTATGCTTTTACATATATAGTTTATAATTATCTCTTAACTGCTTGATTTAACTATGAGTATATACTCACTGTTCTTGAGTTTGAATAACCAAAAATCCAGTAGATGACAAGGGTTCTGCTTCCTTAGATAACACATCATAATCACATTCGTCTTCGTACCAATTTGGGGATTCTAATAACATCGTAATGTCTAATTCTTGTATTTCCCTTGGACTGGCTAAGGAAATCATCCCAGAAGAATTATTGTTTAAACAAAATGATAATAAAGCTTCGTGATCCTTATGGATTACTCTTATATGATCGGTTTCGTCGCTTTCATTTACTGATCCTACAAAATGTAGATAAAATTTGAAGATCAATAAATTTGTTCACAAGAGAATGATAAGCACTTATAGAGTTCAGTTTCATTAAACGTAATGGCAATGGTTATCAGATGAAAGTGGCCGGAAAAAATAAGAGTATTATTTTAGTTGTGGAATCAGCAAAATTGCTTAGAGTGTAGCGAACATATTTAAAAATAATGAGAGTGACAATTAATAATGATATGATTCTATATGAGGAATATGTGTAGGAATGAATACACAAAATCCGAAAATGCTTTAAAAGTATCATAGTAAAAACAAAACTTAAAAAATTTAGTATAAGTTACCTGATTCTAATTTAAAATCGACATTATCTCGAGTCATCGTACGATAATCTAGTTTCTTTCCAAACACTGCTTTAATAAAAACTTCCTGTGCTTGTTCCTGCCTAACTAAATAATTCCACAATCTTCGAATAGGCCCAGTAGATGAATTAACGAGGAACGGCGTATTATCTTTGTTTAAGAGCGAACGATATCTGTGTATTGCTGGCCCCTGGCCGCTGCTTTCAACAAAACAACCTATAAATAAAAGTCAGAAAAGGTAAAAACCAAATACATCTCAAGTACATACAAATTATAAATGTTAAAAAATTTAACACATAAGTAAAATTTTAGCTTGCTTTGGAAATAATTATCCATAAAAATGAATGTTGAAAGTTTGTTATTATAATAAAGATACTACATAAGGACCTAGTGCGAGAGCGTAAAAAGGAAATTTATGGGAAAATAAACAACTGTATTAATTGTTTAAAATCTCATTAATATTTTATGGATACACCGTACATATTTTTGAATTTTTGCAAAGGGTAATGCTCCGTCAACAAAGAAAAAAGATGTCTTTCTTTGAAATATTAAGAAATAATAATCTTATATCACATGCAATTAACACTAAGGCTGAACCCACACCGGATTAGTCAAAAACGTCTTTGACTAATAAAGCACAAAAACGTTTTTTACTCTAACCCACACCAAGCCAGCACAATACATTTTGTCTTTTTGTCTCGCTTGGTGTGCATTGAAATAAAACAAAAGAAAGAGGAAACGAATATTTTCAATAATAGTTTTGTGAACGAAATGAAAGAAATAAAAGAGAATGGTGTGTGTGTGCATCCGAGAAATTTTCGAAATTTCACAAGGATACAGGTGTCAGCATTCGAATATTTCCTCTATTTAATAAAACATATAATTTTTAAGCAAAATACAAACTACCCACACTTTTTGTTCGATTTTGACAAAATTTACAATAGAATTAATTTAAAATACGTAG